ACACACACACACACACACACACCAAAAAAAAAAAAGGAAAAAAGAAAAAGGATACATTTTCTTTAGATAATTCTGTGGCTGCCATAAGTTGCAGAAGGACAAACAGGTCTAACAAGATACCTTCAAAAATAATTCCATTTATGTCTCCAGAAAGTAATAAGCCCACCAAACTCTATGTAAGACGTGGTTTCTGTGTTCATGTGGTACTTGGAATTGAAGCCAGGACTTTGTATAAACTTGGCAAGTGCTTTACTATCCAAGCTTTGTAACTAGCCTCTTCTAACTTTTTTTATTTTGAGACAGGGTCTTAACTAAGTTGCCCAGGCTGGCCTGAGCTTTCTATTGTCCTGCTTCAGTCACCCAAGTACCTGGGTTACAGGTCAGCACCATAAAGGCCAGCAAAACTGCCTTCTTGAGATTGCCACATTTCTAGATTCATTTAAAAAGCAGAAAAGCCAGGTCCAGTGGCACACACTTACAGTTTCAGCTTATTTATAATGCTGAGGCAGGCCCAGGAGTTAGAGACCAACCAGGGTAACACAATGAGACCTTGTCTCAAAAAGGGCACAGAATACTGACCCAGAGTTTCCAGCATAACCATCTAGGAAAACAGGGGATAAACAGCAGCCTGGACAATCAGTTTGGGCTGGGCCTCATTTAGTCGCTCTGGCAGGACACCCTCTCAAATTTTCACTTCCTCATACGCCATAGTATTGGCCTCATGCTTTACCATGGGGGCTACAAGGCACCTGACTCACTATGTTCAGAAACAAACATTTACAGTTCAAGTACAGCAACCTCATTTTTTAAAAATCAAAATAACATGACCAGAATCATAAATGTTAGCATTTCAATACTGAACCTAGAAAAAATACAATGCAATACTAAAGTCAAAATCAAAAGAGCATTTGACAGAGTTCTTTTAAGTATGTTTGGATGACAATAATTCCATAACAATTGTGCACTCACAATTTGTGAATATGTCAAAATGGAGAACTAAAATAGAATCTGAGTTTTCTCAGGACACATGTTGAGAAAGAAAATAATTCTTTCTCCATTCTCATTTAAATTATACATATGTCGTAATATTTTATAAAAAATAAATGTCCAGATATAAGTACAATTTAACTTAGTTTCCTCTTTAATTTGTTTTTTATAGCAGACATGTTAATTTCATTTTGAACATGATATGCCGAATATCCTGAGCTTCCAGGAATGAAGTCATGTAATTCTCCAAGGAATTTCTCCAAGGCATCAATTGATATATAACCTATAAAGATAAGAAATAGATACATTTGAAATCTCATCACACTATTTTATTTTCAGTGTCTTTGATTTATTAGTTAATTTTTTATAGAACTTTTTTTAAAAGAACTGAAAAGAAAAACTAATACTAGTGAGAACCTTAGACACCTATATTCCTGCTCCTACCTCTCCAGTGCTGAGATTACAGGCCTGTTCCACCGTGCTCCACTATGTAGTACTGGAGACCAAACCCAGAGCTGTGTACATGCTGCCCAAGCACTCTACTAACCGGGCTCTATCCTCAGCCCTTAACACTGTTTTCTTTCTTTGCCTTAGTTTATAAAACAGTGAGTTTTTATCATGGCCTCTTCATTCAAATATATCACCGTATTTTGGTCATATTTGTCTCTTCTCTTCTACCCATCTTCCCTCCCCCACTGTCCTAGTTTTTTGTTTGTTTGTTTGATTGTTTTTTGAGACAGGGTTTCACACTTTAACCCAGGCTAGACTGGACCTCAATTGTAGCCCAGGCTGGCCTTAAGCTTTCAGCTCTGCTTCAGCCTCCTAAATTCTCGGACTATTGGTGTGAACCAACACACTTAACTTTTTCTCCCACTCTTAAAGCATAGATACTTGGTAAGCAACTTTGATTACCAAGAGTGGAATGTCCATATTGGGGCTGGAACATTACAGTGCCGAAACCAGAATGACTGGGGATAACTGGCACAGACTGTAACCACTGAGAACTCTCTCCAACCACCCAACAGCACAGACAGCACATCTGCTCTATAGAGCAGACGACACCTCCAAGCACTGAAAAACTGGGATAATGTTCTCTAGTGAAAAATTAATAGTAAAGTCAGTACTGCTGCCAGTCAACACAAGTTATGGGTGTAATTTTGATGTCATTAATAATCTGAAATAGCTCTGGACTGACAGCTGGGGAACCTGCATGGGACTGAACTAGGCCCCCTGAATGTGGGTAACAGTTGTGTGGCTTGGGCAGTATGTGGGGCCACTGGCAGTGGGACCAGAATTTATCCTTAGTACATGAACTGGCTTTTTGGAACCCATTCCCTGAGGTGGGATGCCTTTCTCAACCTCCATACAGGAGGGAGGGGCTTGGTCCTGCCTCAACTTGATATGCCAGACTTGTTGACTTCCCATGGAAGGCCTTATCCTCTCTGAGCAGTGGATGGGGGGTGGGACAGGGAGAAGGTGGGGGGTGAGCAGGAGGAGGGGAGGGAGGCAGAACTGTGGTTGGTATGTAAAATAAAAAGAACCCTTTTAAATAAAAATAATAATAATAGTAATCTGAAATAGATATGAATGCCAAAAAAGAAACCTTGCCTAAATGCAGAGAGCTTAAGGAAGGATTCAAAGCTCTTAAGCAGTAACTTGATAACAATTACTTATTATTTGAATGATTATATTTTATGTATAATACAAATGTTTGTGGTTTATACTAATACTAATACTAATACTAAAATTGCAATCTAAAAGCAAACATTGTACATTAAAAATTCTAGAAGATCCCAAGTATGACTGAATTTAAAAGTACCATCAATGGCAACAGAGTTTATACATATAACTTGATTGTTTTTGTAATAAAGTCAATTCATAGTTTAAAATTATGAATCTGGCCATTGAAAATTAGTGTCTTTAATTTTATTTATTTCAGTCGTGGGTATCTACTTCCTTAGCTCTTTTTGAAGCACTACTGTGACAGCCCATGTATATCCATGATCTCTGCCTGATGGATAAGCACTGTGTAAGGAGTGAAAAAAATGCTTATTGCACAGACACTATGTGAAGTTTCTAAATGCTTACTGCACACATATAGAGAGGGTACCAGGGCCTTGTACTCACAGAGAAGCACCAAGAGAACCAGGAACAGTAATCAACCGTGGATGTCTCCTCAACAGAGGACATAAAATCGAATACTCTGCATTCCATCCAGAAAGCTGAGGGTAAAGGTTGCTAACAGTCTAGTGACATTTTTGCTATTTGAAGGGATAGACCTCTTTCTAATTCCCCAGAATGATTATCCCAGACTCTTCCCTCCCTAGACCATTACCCATCCTTAGGGAGATGTCCCATGTATTTTATGGCCTGTTGATCTCTGTGCTATCAGTCAGAGACCACATTAGATTCTAGGCCTTTTAGCTATACAACCTATCCTTAAAGTCACATGTACTTTGTAAAAAGAATTGCTATGTAATCATACCTTAAGCCTTATCGTGCACCTGGAGTTGGAATTATGGGAATTATTGTTGCCTGGAGACCCTTTCCAAATTCTATTGCATTTAAATATGCCTACAATAAAGTGTCTGGTATTAGATTCCCTGAAGTCTGATCCAGGTTGATGAATTCAATCTGCACTGGGTTTTCATTCTTATCTCTGTGCGGTTTGCTCCCCTGCCTAAATACCTGCAGGGACCTCCTCACACATACACTATGTAAGGTTTCTAAAGGCATCAGGAAAGAAATACAAAATTAATTAGCAAATATATTCCTACCAGGATAAGTGTGCTATCTGCTTTCATCCAGTTTTTGGCTTGTAACTCTTCCTCAGAGGTATAAGATAGAACTTCCCTCCCCCAGGCTGCTCATAGGAACTCTGGTATCCCCCTTTTCTGTCTTAGAGCTGGTCATCGTGAACAGAGGTTTACCAGAAAGAAAAGGCACCCTCTGCAAGGCTGACTAACGGGTCAGAATTTCTGACTGCAGAGAGGCTGCCAAGTTACAGCCTTCTTACTAGACGTCCCTCCCCCACCTGTGTCTATCCTAGCATCCTTGTGACTAGCAGGTAAAATCTTAACTTAGCGACCTTGAGCTTCCACCAACCCCAAAGCTAAGAACATCACAGACAGCCTAAGGCCTGTGACAGAGATTCCCTGCTTGGCTATAACCAACTGCCTACCTGGCATTTCTACCAATGAATGAATTTATAAAATATCTTCATTTATGATGATTCACTTCATCAAACTGCTACCACACGGGGATGTGGGATTTGGTGAAACCTGAATCTGTGTTTCATGGTCACTTATAGTTTCTAGAAAATATCTCATCTCATTTGCAATGAGACTTTTTTCACATCATCATCATAAATTATCTAACCTACCCTTATCTAATTGATGGTAGCTCAGGAGATGCTTTGTTCTGGAAGATCCTGCCCCATAGCCTGGAAGGAAGAATGCTACAGAGAGAGATCAAGTAGAGCTTTTGGTATCATATCATACTCTTCCTGTCCCATCACATCTCAACACGGTTGCTGACAGGGACTTGGCATTATTCAGAATCAACTATCATCAGTCTCTTACTGATCACAAGTTTTCCCTCTACATTTTAGCTTTGTTTTCTTTTTCTGGGCCAAATTGTATTTCTTTAAGGGTAGGAAATATGGTCATTTGGTATAGCTTTTAGTTGAATGCCTGCCTAGCATGCATGAGGCTCTGGGTATGATTCCCACTAATCACCCCTTACCTCACCCCACTTCTGTGTGTGTGTGTGTGTGTGTGTGTGTGTGTGTGTGTGTGTGTACATGTGTGGTCACCTAAATAATGAGTTATCTGTTACACCATGTCAAAAATTCGAAAAAAAAATTACTATGGTCAGCCCATTGCAAATCAGGTATTCAGTCCCAAAGCAACTCTTGGGACTACAGACAAAGCGAGCTTGTATTTTAGATAATGCCTGTTTCTGGGCAGAGGAGATGGTTCAGTGAGTAAAGTCACTTGCTTTCAAGCTTGATGACCTGAGTCTAGTTCCTGGTACCCATATGGTAGAAAGAGAACTAACTCAAGGTTGTCCCCTGGTCTCCCCACGTACATGGTGGCAAACGAGCCCATAAACATATATCATGCACCAGCACGTACATATATACAACAGTAATAGGCAAATTTTAAATATAAAATAACAACTTCATGAAACAGTTACCAAGTGGAGCATGGAATCTGGGGAAACCTGAATCTTTGTTCTTGAGTCATGGTCACTTACATGTGGCTACAAATAAATGATCTCTTATCCTCTGTGAGGTGAGAGCTGTTTCTTATGTTGACAACAGTCTCTAAGAAGGCCTTAATGAGTGATCCCCATCTCTTGGTATTCACAAACTTGTGTAAACCCTGACTACTTCCTGTGGAATATTCCTTTACACTGTTTGAATATATGTCACTGTGATTAGGTTACTAAAGAAACTGACTGGTTAATAGCTGGACAGGTAGAGGTTAGGCAAAACTGGTAGACAAAAAGAGAACATGGAGAGGAAGAGGAAAAGTCTCAGGAGCAGTGAGGAGATGCAGAGGAAGCAGGAGACGAACTTGACGTACTGAGAAAAGGTACTGAGCCACATGGCAGGGCATAGATAAGAAATATGGGTTAATTTAAAATGTAAGAGTTAACTAGTAACAAGCCTGTGCTATTGGCTGAGCATTTATGATTAATAATAAGTCTCAGTGTGGTTATTTGGGAACTGAATGGTGGGAAAGAAAAGTCAGCCTACAACTTCCTACTTGGGCTGATCTATGTGTTGGCATGTCACTTCTGAAAACAAGGACTAGATTCTATCTTAGATATTCTCTTATTACTTTTGGACCTCTTACTCTGAAATAAGTTACTATATTTTGAATGAAAATGTCCATTCAGGGAGCTGGAGAGATGGCACAGTGGTTAAGAATATTGGCTGCTCTTGCAGAGGACCTAGGTTTGATTCCCAGCACCCACATGGTGGCTCACAACTGTATAATAGCTCCAGTTTCAGGGTATCCAGGGCCTTACTCTAGTCTCTTGAGATACCAAGTACACAGGCATACATGCAGACAAAACACCCATATGCATTAAAAAAAAAAAGTCCATGTAATATAAAGTATTTGGCCAAAACTCAGCAAGGACCTAAGGTCTGTCAAGTACCACTCATGAGTAACCTCTGATGTGGATTTTTCCACTCCCAGTTGTGCCTCCGAATGATTGTAGCTTTGGTGACAATTTCACTGAAAATTTATGGAACTCTGAAATAAGTCATCAGTTACTAAACTCCAGGACTCTGACCCTCTGAAACTATAAATAATAAACATTCATTATTCTGGTTTTGTGTGTATGTTTTTGTTTTCTCTGATGTATGCTAACCTGACCTCAAACTTGCTAGTTGTAGTTGAGGATGACCTTGAGCTTCTTATCCTCTTGCCTCTACCTCTGCAGTGCAAGAACCACAGGTGTGACACCCTACACAGTTTCTATGGTGCAAACACTGTACCAACTGAGCTGGAGGCCCAGGGCCCTGGGTTGGTTGGTTTGTTGGAGATAGTCTCAACACTGTAGTCAATATGGTCTGTAACTCACTGTGGAGCCCAGGCTACAGATTCATAGTACTTCTCTTGCTCAGCCTCCAAATGCCTGTATTTATAGAAACTAGCACCCATGCCAGATACATGGCCATTGCTTTAAACTGTTAATTTCTGAAATGATTTGTTACATACCAATAGATATGTAAACAGTAAATATTTTGGATTCTTAATTTAATTATTAGAATCCTTTGGCTTGGAATTTTTGTCAGTAAGGTATTTAAATTGTTAGTGATGATTTTCTTCCCTCTACTAATCACAAATATAACTTATCAATCAGAACATCTTATTGTAGATAGTAGTAAGTGATAATTAAACTGAGGTGATAATAAAAAAAACAATAAAAACAGTATTTTGGGAGCCACTTGGCAAAGTCTGGAGATACTTTTGGTTGTCACAGTTGCGGGGAAGAAGTTGTATGGCTGGCACACAGTGGGAGACATCTTTTTTTTTTTTCCAGAGTTGAGGACGGAACCCAGAGCCTTGTGCTTGCTAGGCAAGCACTCTACCACTGAGCTAAATCCCCAACCCAGTGGGAGACATCTTACAACCATGCTCAAAGCTGATGCTCATCCATCTCTGTCAAGAGAATAGTTGGCCAGCAGTGCCAACAATGCCCAAACTGAGAAGCCGTATTCTAACACAAAGTTCCAGCTTGTGTTTTCTTATAACTAAAGACCTCAATTAATTCTGTTTTCAGAAACTTAACATGTTGTCACTGAACTTAACCCATTTAAGGGAGGAAGAGTCAAACAGCAACAATGTTACTAGAGTTTGTTAGGTTCAGAGCCTGGACTCTGGCAGCCCTAACAGGCCAGGCTGGGGGTCACTGCCCTCAACAGGCCAACTGGAGAGACTCAATGGTATAATGTGTGCTTAATGAAAAGCTTCAGGTTTGGGCTTCAAGGGGGATGGTACACCGAGGTGCGCTATCCTTGAGATAAGAGATTTATTAAATGTAACAATGAAATGTTAAAATCTAGCTGCTACTTAAGCCATAATACTTTGCCAGAGTCTCCCACTTTCAGATACTGACAGGCACCCTACTGAGACACCAGCTCCAAGTCCCAGCTAACAGACTTCCTGGGGCTAGGATCTCTCATCTGGGGAGGTGAGCTGACATCAAAGAGGGTGTGGTTGTATATCCTGCTTACTGCCATTTCCCTGTCTCATGGCTGGGAAACCTCCCCATTCTCAGAAAGTATAAGAAGAAACCACACTTCTGCCATATGGGCTCTGATTCCTCTCTATCTCTGCCATGTAGTCTGTGTCTGGTGTTGGGGCCCGAACTGACCCCAGAGCCCTCACCATGCTGTTGTCTGCCTGTCTGTCCATGACAATAACTTCTCTAAAAGTCTCCAGTAATCCATTTCAGCATATCTCTTGAACCACCCCCGATTTGAAACCTTTCGTTAGAAGAATTATATTAACACCATAAACATATAGACAGAAGAACGGAGGTCCCTTCTTATGGGTCTCAAAGGGAAGGGGAGGTTCCATGTTATATGGCTGGTGAGTAGTCCACAGAAGGGGCCCAGCTGTCTCAGGCTCCACAGAAAAGCCTGATCCTAGGCATGTATGAGACCCTGGGTTCAACCCCCAGCATTACAAAAACAAAAACAAAAGAACTGATCCCTGAATGCCAGAAATAAATTGCAACTGTCTCATGCAAGCAAGAGTAAGCATCCCTCCTATCTAGAGAGCCCTGCCTTGGCACAGGAAACATGAAGCCCATGCTTGGTCCATTCTGCAGGTTAACGTTTTAGGAGATGAAGGGCACCTCTCCTATCACCATGGTAAAAGGAAAGCTCTGCTTGGTAACAGCTTGGTTCTACGCAGTCCCCCTGCTTCTTCCCTAGCTGGGGTAACTCCCATTTCTACTTCAGGTTACCTGTTACCATGTTGTTCACTGGATAATTCTGAAGAGGGAAGTACATCTGCTTTTCTACAACCGGAGTCCTTATAAAATCATTCTCTGCACTATAAAAATAAAACATACAGAAAGTCACATTTATATTTGATTTTTTAATTTATATTACAAATGAAGATTTATTCCAGGCAATGTATATAATAATTTAACACTTTTTTTTGGTTTTTTTTTTTGAGACAGGGTTTCTCTGTGTAGATTTGCACCTTTCCTGGAACTCGCTTTAGAGACCAGGCTGGCCTCGAACTCACAGAGATCCGCCTGACTCTGCCTCCTGAGTGCTGAGATTAAAGGCGTGCACCATCACTGTCCAGCAATTTAACACTTCTTTGATCAGGTTTTAGACTTACTTACTGAAATATTAATTGTAAGCTTTCTTTTGTGATCCTAACAAAGACCAGAGCTTATATACCTGCTTTTGGTTTTCTTAGCTACTTCACAAATCAAACAATTATTGAATAGAGGCCTAGGTCTTCTCAATATCTCCCAAAGCACAGTAATAATTTGTAATAGGATAACATAGGGCTAGGAATGTATCTCAGTTGTAGGGCTTTTCCCTCACATGCATGAGACTGGGTTCAATTTCCAGCACTGTCAAAAATGTAAAATAATTTATTATGTACATCATAATATATATATATATATATATTTATACACACATGTGAAATCTTACATATGCCAAAAGAAAAGCACAGTAGATTATATAAATGGTCACAGTCTTTTGTTACTCACTATTCAAATAACTGAGACTCTACGAACTAGTACACTTCACCATACTTCAGCACAACAAAAAGAAACAAGGTCAGGGAAACCATGAAATACAGTGAGATTTTTAAGTAACTTAAATAAGTAAGGTTTACCTTAGATCATGGGCCTGCCTATTTAAGACCAGATGGCAGCCTAGAAGAAATCAGTCCACACCTTCCCTATAGTGTGTCCTCTGAAGCAAAGAACTGGCAAGCTCTGTGTTATCACACAAGCCTAGATGGGTCCCCCTCCTTTTTGTGGGGGGAGGGTTCAAAATAGAGTTTCTCTGCATAGCCCTGAATGTCCTGGAATTCGTTCTGTAGACCAAGCTGGCATCAAACTCACAGAGCTCTGCCTGCCCCTGCCTCCCAAGTACTGAGATTAAAAGCATGCACCACCACTGCCTGTGTGGTAGTTTGAATGTAACTGGCCTCCATAATCTCACAGGGAGTGGACTATTAGGAGGTGTGGCTTTATTGGAGTGGTATGGTGTTGTTGGAGGAAGTGTGTCACCGTGCAGGTGGGCTTTGAGGTTTCCTATGCTCAGGATACCGCCCAGTTTGCCAGTTGACTTCCTGTTGCCTGCAAGCCAAGATGTAGCCAGCACCACATCTACCTGCACACCGCCATGTTCCCCACCATGATGATAAGGGACAGAAACAGAACTTCTGAAACTATAAGTGAACTCCTCAATTAAATATTTTCCTTCTAAGAGTTGTCATGGTCATGGTGTCTCTACACAGCAATGAAAACGCTAAGACAGCCCAGCATGGCTTGCTGGGTCCCCTTTGGGAAAGAGTTGATAGAATATTAAATGCAAAGTCAAGGGACTTCAAAATTACCTCAGCTCTAGAAATTGTATCTTATTGTAAGAGAAGAGAGATATATACTATTCAGTGGTAGAATTATTTCTGATTTAAATTTCCTTTATTCTTTTCTGTATGTCTTATTTTCATGAATTTACATGGATTTGCATTTTTAAAATTGTGGCATTTTTGAAATAGGGTTTCAGAAAGCCCAGGTTGGCCTCAAACTAGCTATGTAGCTGAGGATAACTTTGAACTTCTAACACTGTGTTTACCTCCAGGGTGCTGGTTTATGCAGTGTTAGGGATCACTTCCAGAGCTCCATGCACACTAGGTAACCCCTATAACACTGAGCTACATCCTCAGCCTATTATATTTATTTTTAAATAATCTAAAACAACAACAAAAAGTTAAAATGCACGTGGCTTTAGAATTTGAGGAATATTTGGGGAAAGGAAAATAGCACAATGGTTAAAAGTTTGGACTACACATGGTTTCAAACTCAGCTGTACTTTCTGAATATATCTGAGTAAATTACTTAGCTCTTCAGATCTATTTTCTCAATTGTAAAATGAATGGGGCTGACTGCATATCTAAGTGGTGAGAATCAAACGAAATACTGTAAACTGCTTGTCTCACAAATACTTAGCAATTGTTCAATAACAGCATTCCTTTTAGTATGTGCTTGCTATCCTTTAGTAAGTAATGCTTCATACATGTATTTTAGGGTATATTTTATTTATGTTCATATTCCACCATCTGGTGGTTCCACAAAGAAATGGTTCTACAGATGTAGTGGAGTTCTCTAGCATAACATGACAGGGCTACTGAACACATGAACTCACAGTGGCTATGACAACACGCATAGGACTATACAAGATCAAAATAGCTAACATCCCAGCATGGGAAGAGGAGGGGCTCATGAAGCCCCAACTCTAGCTGAGAAGCTGTTGGCCTTAGAGAGCTGCTACAAGAGTGAGAATAAGTTTTCTTCGGGGATGCAGCCCTTGAAAGGCTGCTCATACTCCTGTAGATGGTCCAATACTCATTCACATAGAGGCAGCACTAAGTAGACCCAGCAGGTTTTTAAAGCAAAAAGCACCAGGCAGTGAAGGTACACACCTCTCATCCCAGCACTCAGAAGGCAGAGGCAGGTGGATTTCTGTGAGTTTGAAGCCAACTTGCTCTACATAGTGAGTTCCAGAACAGCCAAAACTACACAGAGAGAGAATACATGAAATTGAGGGAAAGAGGGGAGTTAAAGAATTAGAGGAGGGGGTGGGTGTGGGTTTGATCAAAATTCATTATATGCACTATGAAATTCCTAATTAAAAAAGGAAAATTGAAAAATAAAAGGCAAAGCCCAGCAGTGGTGATACACACCTTTAATCCCAGCACTTGGAAGGCAGAGAGGCAGGCAGATCTCTGCGAGTTCAAGGCCAGCCTGGTCTACAGAGTGAGTTACAGGACAGCCAGGGCTACACAGTGACAGTGAAACCCTGTCTTGAAAAAAACAAAAGGAAAAGAAAAAGAAAAAAAGGCAGAAACCTAGGGCATATTCACATAATTGGTCTTTGGTTTTTTAAATGTGACAGAGTCTTCCTATGTAGCCTAGCGCTCATCTTAACCCCTATAGTGCCAAGATCATACTTAAAAAGTACCACGCCTGGCATTTTTGTCATGTATGCATGTATATTTGTGTGAGTGTTAGTGTGAGTGCGCACATATAGGAACATGCATGTGGAGGCCAAAGATTAATATTAGGTGATGTCATCAATAGTTCATCACCTTATTTTGTTATGTATTTATTTATTTTTGTTTTATGTGCATGAGCGTCTTGCCTCCGTGTGCACCACATGTGTGCCTGGTGCTCTCAGAGGTCACAAGAGAGTGTCATATCCCCTGGAACTGGAGTAACTGATGGTTGTGAGCCACCACGTGGGTGCTGGAATCAAATCTAGGCGCTCTGTAAGAGCAATAAGTGCTCTTAACCACGGAGCATCTCTCCAGCCCCACTTCTACTCTCTTTAATAAAAGTTCGTATTTGGACAAATTAATCTTTTTATCTTAGATCTCTTTTTCTATAAATGGGAATGGTGATAATGATACTATTAATCTCAGAGGAATTGTAAACTAAAACAAATCCACAATCAAGCTCAACGATTTCTCCATTAAGTTTGAACAGCACTGAAGCATAGGAACTCCCTACCTTTCAGACAACTCTTTCTTGTGTTCTGTGGTTGGCTCACTGCTTCCCCTCTCATTTGATGGTATCCTGTCATGCTGCAAACAGCAAAAGATATCACATTTGTAAAATTAACACACTAATTATCTAATCATTAATTTTTAAATTAAATTAAAATATAATCAAAAGCTATTTAAATTTATTTTTTTAGTTCTATTCATTGTAACCTGGTAGGGAAGCTTATGAAATTTTGTATATATACTCATATAATCATGCTTTTAGAAGAGTATAAAGAAGGAAAACCAGAATTCTAAATACCAGCTATAGTTGTAGCAAGTAACTAAATTTTGTTTGAGGGAAGGGAAAGAATACAGAAAGGAAGGAAGAGAGAAAGGAAAAAAATCAAACATTACAAACTTAAAGACTTTCTTAAAATCCTTGACTTCAGGATTCTCCTACTTACAAATCAATAAAAAAAGACTGAATGAATTGTTTCTATTTTAAAGTGATGGTGACAGAGATATGTTTACTCTGAAGTTGTAACAAAACTAAAAGTATATTACACTTTTCCAAAACATTTGCAAAAATGACTCAGATGCTTATACCTAATGCATTTAACAGAATGTCATTAGAAATTCCATATTTAGATCATAAATTTTCCCTAAGCAATAATAATGCTCCAAATTACTTTCCAGATTTATCCTTGTTATTTTCATTTGAAATCATAACTTTCTACTTATATATTATGTGGTTACAGTATTATAATTAGCTAATATTCAACACTGATAACTACTTTAAAGGAATTGACAAGATCTTTTATCAAATAATAATGTCTAGCCAATAATCAATATAAAAGTATGTTATTAACATTTTTATTTTGATTTATCTGTCTGCCTGTATGTCTGTGTAAATGTATGTCACATGTATGCAAGTGCCCACAGAGGCCAGAAGGGCTCGTTAGAAGCCCTGGAGCTACAGTTACAGGCACCTGATGCAGATGTTGGGAGTTCAGTGGTGAACTGAATTCTGGTCCCCTGAGCCATCCCTCCAGCCTTACACTAACTTTTTTTTTTTTTTTAACAGAAATGACATTAGATTAGGTTTAAGCTAAGAAAATTTGGTTTCATTGTGCTAATATATGGTAACATGTACTAAGACAGATTTTTTTCCCTTTTCTGTTTATGTCAGCATTTTTATTTATAAAATTAAATGATCTTTAGGTTCTTTTTAAGTCCCATAGTACTGGTATACTGAACAATTGGCAACTAATTTTTAAAACTCATCATCACTTGCCGGGCGGTTGGTGGCGCACGCCTTTAATCCCACCACTTGGGAGGCAGAGGCAGGCGGACTTCTGTGAGTTCAAGGTCAGCCTGGGCTACCAAGTGAGTTCCAGGAAAGGCGCAAAGCTACACAGAGTAATCCTGTCTTGAAAAACCAAAAAACAAAACAACAACAACAAAAAGAAACTCATCATCACTTGTATAGAAACCCTGACATATCAGAGATTAGATATTTTCAGAACTTATCACCTCCAAGCCTCGGACATCTACATGTGTATAATGGCATGTGCATACACACAAAGAAATAAATAGAATTTTAATTAATGAAAGGAATATGAAGTATATAAATTAATTACTTGGCTGTGGAAATATAGATTTTTTTAAATTTTTTCAGACTGAAAAAAAAATAACATACTGATAAGTTTTTAAAAATAAAATAGTACAATACCTTGCACTTAGAGATATTTTTGCTACTTTGAGTGTGCTCTTTTTCAGTTTTGTGAGACCATTTGAAAATATAACATTTCTATTTAAGATCTAGCAAGAATTTTCTCATAAATATATTTTATCTTTATAATACCATTAGCATACTTGAGAAAATTTAATAAATCATTATTATCTAATATCCCACCAATCAGTTTTCCCACTTGCTCTCAAAATGCCTTTTTTGTTGTTTTGAGACAGGGTCTCACTATGAAGCCCTGGCTGGCCTGGAACTCACAGAGCTCTGCTTGCCTCTGCCGCCCAAGTGCTAGGATTAAAGGCCAGTGCCACCATGTTATGTTAAAAATGCTTCTTTTATGTTAAAAATATCTATATAGAGAATCTGATCAAGGTTTATATATCACATTTGGCTGTTGTATCTCAATTTAGAACAATCCTTTTGCCTTTGGTGTGACAGTCGCTATAGAGGTCAGGCCAGCTGACTGACTGTGGCATAGTCACTTCCTGGATTCATGTGATTAATTCATAATTGGATCTCGATTAAGCTTTTGAATAAGAATACAGCATAGACAATATTGTGTGCTTATTATAACACAACAGACTAAGCATAATTAGAGGTTATTCCAGTATTAGTGACACCAATTTGATCATTTGGTTAAAGTGGAATCTTCCAGATCTGTCCATTTGCAGACATTGCTTGCCTTTGTAATTAGTAAGTAATCTGTGGGTGATAATTTGGGATCATAGTTTTTACATCTATTAGTGACTCTTTCTAAATCAATTATTATATTGGCAGTTACAGAATGCATATTTTTTTATTTTAATTGTGTGTGTGTGTGTGTTTGTGTGTGTGTGTGTGTGTATGTGTGTGTGTGTGTGTGTGTGGTCTGTTGGGGTCAAGGCACCCAATATGATACAGCATGCCTATGGAGGTCTGAGGACAACTTGCTGGCGTTGGTTCTCTCCTTCCTCTATGGACCCTCCCCAGGTCATCAGGCTTGCACAGCAAGCACTTTGACTCACTGAGCCCTCTTGCTGGCCCAGAGAAGGATTCTCTATTTTATCATCCTTTCTACCTCTATTAGCTGCTATTGCTATAATGAAAAGTTATACTTATACCACTTTCTTCTTCTTTCTTTCCTTCCCCTGTCATTTTTTCTTTCTGCCTTTGGATTATCACTATGAACTAATTGATTCCTTTTTATATAATGTATCATTATCAATTACTGTCTTCTTTGATACTGAAATTATCCATATTTGTCTATTGCATAAGGATTTTGAAGTCAAAATACAGACAAATTTGAGTAGAATGACAAAAACTAAAATGCAGTTTTGCATATCTATTAAGGAATATTCCTCAAAACATTTAACAAGTGATACAGCACAAGAAGTCATCAGAATCTACACCAGCAAATAGCAGGCACCTATTGTTACTCTATAGTACTGACTAAAGAAACCAGTGTCTTATTTATTTTTCCAGTACCAGGAATTGAACCGAAGGAACTGTGTGCCAAGGAGGCATTCTGCCACTGTGTTCTACCCCAACCCTCAAGTTTCTTTCTTTTTCTTTCTATTTTATTTTTGACAGGCTTTCTTCAACTTCTAAACCTCCTGCCCCTGTCTCCCAAATGTTAGGACTACAAGTGTATGGCACCATGTCTGGTTTTTATGCTGGGCTGAGGACTAAACCTAAGGCTTCCTGCATGCTAAGCCTGCATTTGAGTTTCTTATAAGAATAGTTTCATTTATACAAAATAATTGTTTTACCATTGCACTGCACTATGTAAAAACCATGTCAAACCAGAAAACACTCAATAAAAGCATGCTCTTTCAATTCCTTAATCTGGCTCATTGATGCATATGTCACAAATTATACTGCCTTCAAAATTTTTGAAACTGCACATCCCAATCAATTATTTTAATTTCCTCTTACCTTTTCTATCAGAACATTTTCATCTTGTTCCCAAATAAAACTACCAATTTTTCTTCGTATTTCTGTAGTGAGAAAAACAAGTTCAATATTTTTAAAAGTAATTTCTGGATTTTGCATAATGTTTGAAACTTGTAGGTTATGTTTATTCTACTTGAATCAAAATAACCTCTTTTTTTTTTTAAATTCTACTTGAATCACAATAACCAGATTCCAACTGAACCAAGGCATTGAAAAGCCTAGGAATTAAAATTTCCAATCCACTCTCCAGATGATTCCATTACACTATGATAATCACTATTATAGACTTCTTCATGGTATGGGGTGTGCATGTGCGTGTTTGTTGTGTAAGTATATGTGGTTGCATGCATATGAACATGCAGATGTCTATACCTGTATACAGCATGCAGAGGCCAGAGGAGAGCACTGAGTATTTTCCTCTGCCTTATTGCCTTCAGACAGGGTCTCTCACTGAACTGGAAGCTTATTGGTTCAGCCAGACTGGCTGGCCAGCTCCTGGGATCTCTCTGTCCCCATCCTCCAGCTGCTGGGGTTACAGGCACTCATGACCATGCCTAGCTTTTCATGTGGATGTTAGGAATTCAAATTCAGGTCCTTATGCTGGGCAAATTCTCTTACCTACTGAGCCATTTCCCTGCCCTTACTTTTTCTACTAGCATATATTACTTCATTAGATATGTGTCTCCATTATGCCAAGTATTAATAAATAAGACAATTAATAAATATAATGCATAAAATTGTTGAGTATCTAGAGCTGGGTTTCTCAAGAATAAATTTATTTTACTAAAAAGTAGATAAGCAATGTCTAGTAGACAGGAATTCTATAAAATTCAGTATGTCTGGTGACTTTTATTATCTTAATAATCTCAAAATTCTCCACAACAGTCCACTGGAGGACAAAAGGATCTAATTATACTAGACTTTTGTTAACCAATATGGTAGCAATGTAAATGTATGCTTAGTCAAATTGAGGTATGGTGTAAGTGTAAAATAAGAACTGGATTTTGAATATCTGGTATCAGAAAGAATATAAAATATTTTAATAATTTTCATACTGATTACATATTGAAATGATAATCTTTTCAATATTAGGTTAAATAAAATATAATCTTAAAATTAATTTTGCCGGGCTGGAGAGATGGCTCAGTGGTTAAGAGCACTGACAGCTCTTCCAGAGGTCCTGAGTTCAATTCCCAGCAACCACATGGTGGTTCACAACCACTTACTTGCAAAGAGATCTGGTGCCCTCTTCTGGCCTGCAGGAATACATGTATACTGTATACATAATAAGTAAGTAAGTAAATAAATAAACAAATAAGTATATAAATAAGTAAATAAATAAATAAAATCTGGGGGCTGGAGAGGTGGCTCAGCGGTTAAGAGCATTGACTGCTCTTCCAGAGGTCCTGAGTTCAATTCCCAGCAACCACATTGTGGCTCACAACCATCTATAGTGAGATCTGGTGCCCTCTTCTGGCCTATAAGCATATGTGCAGATAGAGCACTGTATACATAATAAATAAATCTTTAAAAAAAAATTAATTTTGCCTATATATTTTTAATACAGCTACCAAAACCTTTTAAACTCGCATAGTTCACAGTGGCATATCACACACATCTGCTAGGCCATACTGCTCTAAGTAGATAAGTACGATATCCTGGTTTGAATGAGAATGGCCCCACAGGCTTGTGTTTGAATGTTTGGTCCCCAGTTGGTGGAACTGTTTGGAATAGATCCTCACTGGAGGAAGTATGTTACTGGTGAAACTGTTAAGGGAGGCTCCTCATTGGCCAAGTATGTTACTGGTGAAACTGTTAAGGGAGGCTCCTCATTGGCCAAGTATGTTACTGGCGATGGATCTGAGGTTTCAAGGGACTGTGCCACTTTCAGTGGTCTCTGCTTCCTGTTTGTAGCCCCAGATGTGAGCTGTCAGCACTGCTCGAGAGCCTATGCCTGCCTGCCTGCCTGCCGCCATGCTCCCCACTATGATGGCCATGGACTCCTATCCCTTTGTAACTGCAGGTCCCAAATAAACCCTTCCTTTTATAAGGTGCCTTGGTCATGGTGTTTTATCACAGTAATGGAAAAGTAACTAAGACAGTAATATACCTTTTTTTTTTTTTAAAGGAGTATGTTTTCATTTCAAACAGATTTGTTTGTTTGTTTGTTTTTCCGAGATAGGATTTCTCTGTGTAGTTTTGGTGCCTTTCCTGGATCTTGCTCTGTAGACCAGGCTGGCCTCAAACTCACAGAGATCCACCTGGCTCTGCCTCCTGAGTGCTGGGATTGAAGGCGTGCGCCACCACCGCCCAGCTCAAACATTTTTTAAAGACTTAAATATATGGTAATAGATGTTAAACTCAAAGATAAAATAGGAGTTATAATTTAAAATAAGGTTAATGAATCGGATAGCCACTCTATAATACAAGCTCCTTGAAGGCAGCTTTTTTGGCACATATGGTTTTTGAAGAGAGTTTGAGGTCAGTCGGAGCTACATAGCAAAAACTTGTCTCAGAATTTTTAAAATGTTGCTGGACATGATAGTATCTATCTATAATCCCAGCACTCATGAGGCTGAGACAGGAGGATAGCCATGAATTTGAAACTAGCCTGGGTTACAAAATTAGTACCAGGTCAGCCAGTGTGACATAACAAGACCCAATCTCAAGAATGAAAAAGAGAGGTTTAGCCGGGCAGTAGTGGAGCATGCCTTCAATCCCAGCACTCGGAAGACAGAGGCAGGCGGATCTCTGTAAGTTCAAGGCCAGCCTGGTCTACAAAGTGAGTTCCAGGAAAGGCGCAAAGCTATACAGAGTAAAACATAAAAAAAAAAAAAAAAAAAAAGAGAGAGAGAGAGAGAGAGGTTTAGATAGAAAGGGACGGAGAGAAAGAGAAAATTTTTTTCTTTTTTTATTATTAAGAAATTTTTGTTTGTTTGTTTGTTTTTTCTAGACAGGGTTTCTCTGTGTAGCTTTGCGCCTTTCCTGGAACTCACTCTGTAGACCGGGCTGGCCTTGAACTCACAGAGATCCACTTGGCTCTGCCTCCCGAGTGCTGGGATTAAAGGCGTGCGCCACCACCGCCCGGCTATTAAGAAATTTTTTATTAATTTTACATACCAACGAAGATACCCTCTTCCATCCGAGATAGTTATTTTTTAACAAATCAATTTTTTTTTGCCATAAGTCATTAGTTTATTTGCATAACCACTTAGATAATTTAGTATTATAATTAGGTTGTGCTGGAACACTACTTACAAGAAACCAGTCTTTGGGGTTTCTAAGGATTTATCTAGGAAAATAACTGTTTTTGGTTTGTTCTGAGTTGTTTTTAATATTTTCCTCACTGGAAACCTGTGACCAGCTTCAGTTTGTCTTTCTAGAAATGGACATAGAAGCAAAATCCTCACCAAGAACTGAGTGACTAGGGATGGAGAGATGGTTCAGAGGTTAAGAACACTGTATGCCCTTCCAGAAGACCCTGGTTCCATTCCTAGAACCCACATGGTGGCTCACAACTGTCTCTAACTCCAGTTCCTGGGGATCTGATGCCCTCTTCTGGCCAGCACAGGTACCAGGCACCACTGCGGGGCACCGACACACATGCAGGCAAAACACCTACATATAGAATAATTTAAACAAGAACTGAGTGACTAACGAAAGACCTACAAAAATGAGAGATATAAGGTTAGGTAAACAACCTAGGTTAAGCTTTGGACAAACATGCTAAGACCATGTTCCAAGCAGGGAAAACTGAAAGGACCAATCTCAAAAGCAGTTTACTTACTTTTCCTTCAGTTGTTGAGATAATGTGAAAGTACTTTCAAAAGCATAATGAAAAATATAAATACGAATTTACTAGTATAACAAATATTTAAACAAAAATTCAGATGAAGAAATTCAACACTAGCAAACAACACATTTATTAATACTCACCACATGTCATATGAGATCTATTATCTCATTTTATTCTCAAAATCACTTGGAAGAAGTCAATAGCAAATAAATTACAAAACTGCTGGGCATGGTGGTGCACATCTTTAATCCTAGCACTTGGGGGGGCGGGCAGAGGCAGGTGGATCTCTGTGAGTTTGAGGCCAGCCTGGTTTATATAGTGAGTTCTAGGCCAACCAGGACTACAAAGTGAGACTCTGCCTCAAAACAAACAATTAGAACAAAAAAAAAAAACCTCCATAAAAACAAATTAAGTGTTGGATCCCAGCTAGTAAGCACTTTTGGGGTAATATCTGACTCTGTCTTGGTTTGTTTTATTTTTTGAGACAGGGTTTCTTTGTGTAGCTTTGTGCCTTTCCTGGAACTTGCTTTGCAGACCAGGCTGGCCTCGAACTCAAAGAGATCTGCCTGGCTCTGCCTCCCGAGTGCTGGGATTAAAGGTGTGCACCACCACCACCTGGCATGACTCTGTCTTATTCACCATTGAATTCAAGCACCTGTGTTGTGACCTGTCAAACAAAGAGAATTTAATGAGTGTGTAAATAAAGAAAGCCAGAATACTCACTCAAGGTGTCTCTTCCCAAGTCCATACTTATTCTACCTATATTAAATGATTCAAAAATTTCTGTGGGTATCGTGGTTCACACCTACAATCCCAGAACTCAGGAGACTGGGATACAGAGTGAGACATTGTCAAAAATAAAAACAAAAAAAACCCAAAAAAAAAACACACACACACACACACACACACACACACACACACACACACACACACACACACCATCCAACTGAGAACAGAGATTGGTAAAAATTAAATTTGGTTATCTTAGAAGGGATTGGCTGGATTTGGCAAACAGATAGGTTTATGATTTTTGCTAACCTTTTTGCAGACATTCAGGAGGAAGAACAAAATGGCCCAAGGCCACTGAGTTTTTCATCTCAGTATTAGCTACTGCAGAAAGATAGTAGGCATGAAAAACTGTAGCATTATCTTCTATGTACTCGAGGCTCTGATATATTCTAGAAGAAAGGAAATCTTCTAGGTTATGAAATAGACAGGAATGCATTCAACCTTTCAAAAGAAAAACAAATGACTTCAAGTAGGATTACTGCTAACATTAAAGAATACATTTATGATGGTCCTTTTTTCCTGGCAAGAATGAATAAATTTCAGGTCTGTTAGTTTGAGGACCTACATGTAGGCAAATCTCAGCTTTCGAGTGGGTAAATGATTATATAAATTTACAAAAGACCTAAAACAGTAGTCAGCTGGCCATCAACAGTGGACCGAAAGCCAGCAGCGCAAGGAGTGTTACTCATAGTTACTGCCATGAAAAGAAATCAATTAATTCCGAGGTCGAGTGGGCATCCAGTTAGAGAAGCTTTCACATACAGAAAACATCTTTTCTAAGCCTGTGAAAAGAGGGAGAGAAGAAAGACATTAGGAATAAAAGACATACATGAAGGAACAACAATGACAATGTTGACTAGACTTCGAAAGGTCTGGAAAATTAAAAGAGGTTTTAGCTAAACCTGCACCTGTAGGTAGTGGGGCGAGGGCAGGCCAGGCGCAGATCTCCGTTCAGTACGCGACAGCAGTTATGAAAGGAGATGGCAGGACACACATGGAGGCAGAGTGGTCTCTTAGGAAGTTCCTGTGATGGTCCTGGCAAGGGGTAATTACAGTGCTAGTAAAAGCAGCAATGCGGAGGAAGTACTGTTACTGGAGCCTGTTCCATGGTATTGGGTACCGATTCATTCGTGGTAATAGCAGTTAGTTAAGATGCCAGAAAGCCCAGTCTTGACACGTGCCTGAAATCTTAATCTTGGGACTTAGTATGCCAAGACAGGAAAAGCATGAGGTGCAAGGCTAGCCTGGGCTACATTGCAAGAGCCCGTCTCAGAGAAAAAAGACAAAAAAGGGTGGGGGGTAGATTTTCAGCTTGCAGAACTCAGGACGTGCTCCGGTGTCGAGGTGATACCTGGTTGGAACCTGCAACTTTCACGTGACAGCTGGACATTCAAAAGCGGGATTCCGTTAGAGACCGGAGGGACAGGCAGAAGGCGAGGGCGGGCGGAAGGAAAGAAAGGAGAACGGCATCCCTCAGGACGAGGGCTGCAAACTTGCTGTTCCCCAGTGGGGATAACTGGACCGCCACGTCTATGCGTGGCTCTAGCGGGTGACCCTGGGGTACCTCAGCGTGTCCGGGTGCGAGGCATCGCAGCTGAACAGGAAGTCGGCGGCCTGGGCATCGCTGACGGTCCCGCCTTCGTCCACTGTGGAGGCAAGAGCACGTGTGAGCGCCGGGCAGGGCAAGCGCCCCCAACCCCGCTGGGGGAGGAGGGCTTCCCGGGATGGGGGGGAGGGACACACTGCGCCCCGCCCACCTTCCTACCCCAGAACTGCCGCAAGTCCTGACTGACGCTGCGGCAGAACCAACCACGCTGCCCCTGGAACATGGCGCCGCCTGCCTCCAGGGCTCCTGGGCGGGGCCTAGCGCCGAGACCGCTGATTGGTCCGAAACCAAGCTTGCTGATTGGTTCCCACAAGGAAAGGGCGGGAAAGGTCTGCGGAAGCAGACAAAGAGGCGCTAACTCCCATCCACACGTGAGAGAAGAGCCACGGAGGGCCAAGTTCGCTGGACCTGGTGAGTTTTAAACACTGGGGTAATAAGTGTGTGTGGGGTGGGGTGGGGTGTGTGTGTGTGTGTATCTGTGTGTGTGTGATATATATATAGTATGTTTTAGAACATTTCATATAATCCAGGATGGCTTGGACCTCCCTATGTAGTAGGGTGTGTGTGTGTCTGTGTGTGTGTGATATATATAGTATGTTTTAGAACGTTTCACATAATCCAGGATGACTTGGACCTTGCCATGTAGTAGGGTGCTTATACACCTATAAACTGCTGGAATTACCCGCTGGCCACTGAGGCAAGAAGAAGACACTGCACTGGAGTTACAGGCCGTCGTGAGCCACCCGGTGGGTGCTGGGAATTGAACACCAGGTCCTCTGGAACAAGGGTCCTCTGGAAGAATAGTCAGTGCTCTTAAACCCTGAGCCATCTCTCCCACCCTAAGAATTATTTTTAAATGTAGTGATGGTATCATTTTGTTTATATTTATTTGGGGGAGTGTGGTTGTGTGTGTGTGTGTGTGCAGATCAGAGGACAGCTCTCAAGTGCTGGTTCTTTACTTCCACCATATGGGTTCCAGGGATTGAATTTAAGTGGTCAAGCTTTGTGGCAAGAGCTTTCATCAGCAGCATCGTCTTGCTACTCATATCATATTTTTTGTCATTTTGAGACAGTCCCTTATAACCTAAGCTGGTCTTGAACTTCAACTGAATATATGGCCTTGAATTTCCGGTTCTCCTGCCTCCACCTTCAGAGTATTGTGATCGCAGGCCTGGGTCACTATGTCCAGTTTATATATTGTTGAGGATGGAACTCAGTGAAAGGGATCAGGGTCAGCACAGAACACACCCAGACACCAAATTCTCAGCCTAGAGGGCCAGGCTAGGGCGTTCCCCTTATCTGAGGATCACAGGTGTTTTGAGATGTCATTTCTTATTTATTGCTTGGTTCAAATTATTCTCAGATTTCAGTAGAACATTTTGTAAAGTGGCTTATTTGTCTTTTTGTTTGTTTGTTTGTTTGTTTTTGAGAGAATCTCCATATTATTTACAAGCAAGCCTCAGACTTGTGATCCTATGCTTCAACCCCCAAATGTGAAGATTACAGGCAGGCATAGCTATGTACACTGATATATCTTAAAATTTCCAAATACATATGATTTTCTGATTCTGAATATATTTACTCATGGCTTAGCTGCATTAAAATAAAATACTGGGGCTGGAGAGATGGCTCAGCGGTTAAGAGCACTGCCTGCTCTTTCAGAGGTCCTGAGTTCAATTCCCAGCAACCACATGGTGGCTCACAACCATCTGTAATGAGATTTGGCACGCAGACAGAACAGTGTATACATAATAAATAAATAAATCTTTAAAAAATAAAATAAAATACTGGTCTGTTTGATCAAATCTTGAAGTTTGTTAGCACTTACTTTATAATGGCAGTGTATAGCCCATGAGGTTATGTCTTTAAAAAGAATGCTCTTAGGTGTTCTGTATATATGTTTGTTGGATCAAACTACTCATATTGTCTGATTCTCTGTCAATTTGTAGGGAAGCCATGTAAAAATCTTATGGATCTATCAATTAATTCTTATATGTTAAATTTTTATTTGTGTGCAGGCCTTGTACTGCACTACTTTTAATTAGAAACATGTAAACTCATACTTGTCATTTTCTGTTTGTTTGAGTCATTGAGCACTTAAATATGAAAGGCAAAACCTCAAGACACATAGAACACGAGAGAATATTTTTGGCCCCAGGCAAAGGATTTTTTTTTTAATTGAGACATAGTGTTAACCATGACAGAAAAAAATTACATAAATTTGACTCCATTAAAATTCTCTTCACCAAAGTCACCATAATTAGAGTGAATATATACAAGTCACAAAATAGGGAAGGTACCTGCAGTGCAAATAATCAAGAAAGGATTAGTGTCCAGAATATATAAGTAACCCTATGAAACAATAAAAATGACCCAATTAAGAAAACTCAGCAAACATCTGAATAGACTTTATAATAAAAAGACCTGCAAATGACCAATAAACACATGAAAATATGCCTAATCACATGTAGTTAGGGAAATGAAAATTAAAACCACAATGAGATACCATTACATAAGTTCAGTATTACATACTGAACCATTACATACTGAACTTATTAATAAAAAAATGAATTGGCAAAGGCAGAGTCATAGGAATTCCTCCTGCCGCTGCTAGTGAGAATGTAAATCTATACTCTCACTTTGGTCAACAGTCCAGTGTTACTTAAAGTTATGTGTCTAATGTCACCCAGTATTCATCAGATATACACCCAGGGAAACTCTTGTTCCCATGTACACATACAGCAGTACACATAGAATGTTTATGGCAGCTTACAATTGCTAACAGCAGCAATAACAAAAAGGAACAATGGAAACAATCATTGTATGCTGGGTATTTAAATTCCTGTCTCTCCTTTAAATTTCTAAATTATGTTTATTTCTTTATTTGAGGGGTGACATGGCTTGGATGTGGAAGTCAGAGGACAACTTGAGGGAGTCAGTTCTTTCCTTCCATCATGTGGGTCCTAGGGATCAAACTCAGGTCATCAGGCTTGGCAGCAACTGTCTTTACCTGCTAGTGATCCTGAATTATACTGTATTTTCATACAATGAAATACAATAGTCCTTAAGCACAGAGGATGCTTTTCAACATCCCAAATGGATGCCAGAAGCTACTAATTCTAGACCCTATATATACTATAATACTTTCCACCACTACACAGATATCACTGTGCCAAATTTTAATTAATAAATAAGGCATGGTAAGACATTAACAATTAATAATAAAATAGAACAATTATAAGAATATATTCAACAAAAGTTAGTGTGTTTTCTCTCAACTGCCATGAGGCAGTTAGTATATACATTATGGATATGCTACTCTATTGATCCTAAGTGGGAGGGATAGGAGGGCATAAGATTTTATCATACTACTAAGAATATTTGATTTATTTGTTTGTTTGTTTGTTTATGAAGTCCTAGGGAATGAACCCAAATCCTCCAACATGATAAGAAGTCTTTACCACTGAGTTGCACCCCAGCGCTCAGAACCATGATTTTAAATTAATCAATCATTTATGTCTGGAGTTTCCCACTGGTATTTTCAGACTATGGTTGACTGTAGGTAATTTTAACTGTGGAACATGAAATCATGGATAAGGGAAAGAATACTAGTACGGCATAATTTTGAATTTTCAAAAAGCCCAGGAAGACATACAACACCATACCATTTATTTTCAAGTTCAGAAGAAGTGATAAAATGAAAATATATATTTTAGGAATACATGGATATTTAATATAGAAAAAATAAAATAATACATGTATAGAAAAACCAGCTAAGTTTATATTTTTAAAAGAATTTTTATATAAAACATATTATTTATTCATTATGGATATGCATGTGTGTTTGAGTATGCATGCATACCACATGTGTGCAGGAACCTGAGGGAATCAGAAGAAAGCATCAGATTCCTGAAATTGAAATTATAGGTATTTATAAGCAGGCCTGTGAGTGCTGGGAGCTGAATCTTCTGCAATCTCCAGCTGGGTGCTGGATCTTCTGCAAGAGTAGTAAGTGCTCTTAACTGCTGAACCATCTCTGCAGCCCCATGCCTTATGTTTTAGTGCAAAGCATAGAGTAGTGAATACCTGAAAACTGAAAGAGGCACCCAGGAGCCACCAATGTTTCATTGCTGTTTGGGTTCTAAAGCTAAATTATTAGTTAATTAGTCTTTTTTATTATTATTCTCAGAAGACCTCTACATATCTATTACCTGCCTTAATTATTGTGTATTTTTAGAAGTAATTAAGAAATTATATTAGTTGATAGGGGAGGAGAGGGGAGACAGTGACAACATCAAGCAAAATTCCAGGCCCAAGATGAGTCCTCACCACATTCTGGTTGAGGTGAAGTCATTAAAAGACATGGATAGGAAGGGGCTGGACAGATGGCTCTGTGATTAAGATTAAGTGCACTGCTCTTTCAGAGAACCCAGGTTGGGTTCCAGCACCCACATCAGGCAGCTCACAACCACCTATAACTCTAGCTCCAAGGGATGTGACATCCTCTTTTGTATTCCACAGGTACCTGCATCCATGTGGCACACACTCAGATACACTTGCATACACATAATTAAAAAAATAAGATTTTGTTTAGAAAAATAGTAAGTTTTCAATGTATCCTTTTAATCATGTCATGTTAGTTACCAAACTCATCTATTATAAATGTATATGTGTTGTATAGGAAAGCAACTTTAGATCGGGAGTTCCAAGAAGGGGAACTAGGGCCATTTCATCAAGAGTACTGTGGATATCAAGAACTCTAAACCTAGAAAGAAGGAACAAACTAGACATTGAACAAGTTGAAGAGAGAAGGATAAAAAAATGCTGTTGATTAAAAATATAGACAGGACTGATGAAGAAGAACAGAGTCAAAAGCAGATGGGAATATGGGTGTATTTTGATCTAGGAGAAACAGGCAACTCTCACTAATAACGCAGGAAAAAAGAACTGAAAAGAGGAAAAAGAGCCAAAGATTTGCTAGACTAAAAAGTATGTTGAGTGAATGCAGGAAGACATGATTATATGCTAATTCAGGCCATTTTCTACTTCAAGTCTCTGGAGCAAATTTTTACATTTACAGCAACGTGTTTTGGAAAAGAAATGAGGTGAATTTTTTAGAATTAAATCCCAGCACTGAAAAAAGCTAATTCAACGGGAAGAAGAGTACAGATGTGAACATCCATCCTCTAGACTCAGTATGCTGGCAGAACATTCGAGAAGGGTTTCCAAGCATCACAAAATCAAGCTGCAGTTTGCTCCAGAAACAAGACATGAGGACCATACTCAGGGAAGCTCCCTGTGTCCTAGAAGACCCCACAGAAGTAGAGTGTTATCTTGAAAGGCTCCAGCAAAATCCATGTAGGGAACTGAAATGTAAGTCAGTTTGTGAATCCTGCTTTTATTGTTTCAGA